GTTACTGAAAGAAATAACTCATGGCGTCTGTATCTTGATTCCTCCCAATATTTTTATGACTTAGGACATTAAAGATATAACTTAATATGTAGCAAGGAACCATAGTCGTCCAATGTACTCTTGAGATGTTGAATTGGAGTTGGTAATAAGGTGAAAATAATAAGATTTGTGCCATAGAAATTGCAGACTCAGGCATAAAGCTGAAATGGGGGTTTTTACCCGGTTTGACCAATATATCATAAAGCTGAAATGTTTTTTTTTTCTTTTTATATGGTGGTGTTCGGACCAACTTATGTGTGCTTCAACTAATCCATAGGTATATCAAGGCTTAAACTGATAGGAAGAAATCAGCTAGCGGATTTTCTCACCTCTAACGAAATTTGAACTATGGTCTTCCCCGTCATTCCCACTTTATTAACCGCTAGGCTATGCCATCTAGTACCTTAATGTTGTGGGAGACGTGTTTAATAGGCGCAATTTTGCTTCGGTTGAGGTTTCAATAGCCAATAGGTCATAGCTTTAGTTCAGGTCTAAATGAAAATTTTGACAAGTTTGAGGGGCCGTCGATATACTCAGCCTTCTAAATAAACTAAAAGTTTATGAGAAAAATCGCGCATGCTTAAAAAGACATCTGCCATATATTTATTGGGTTGATGTAAACACCTAGTGCGAGTAAGTTTTCACCGATTAAGACATTTGTATCGGATACATACTTATAGTTGATTCATGTAATGACAGTCATTCTATGTCCTCTTAAAGCATCAAACTAACATATAAAATCAATCAAGATCCAACAATTCAATAATTAATTCCCAATGCTTAAATTTTGGATTTTGATCACTCAATTCTTAATAGTTTAGACTTTAGAAATTGTTCGGTGGCGAGGCAATAATAGGAGATTTTGACTCGTAATTTGTACGCCTTAGATTGTATGTCCTCGTAATACACAATATAATATTAAAAAATCGAAGTCAAAGTAAAGACATAATAATAAAATCAAAAACGGAATTAAGGTTTTATATATTTACGTTCAAAATCATAGGACTACACCTAACTTTAGAGTAGAAAACCTAAATTGTTTAGGGAAAATTTCACATTAGAACAACTAAGCTACATGCTTTTCAATTTTATAGACCATATTTCAATTTACAACCAACTAGCCCAAAAATAATAGGCTAAGATTCAACATCCAACTCAAATAGGTTCTTAAAATTACTATTTAATTTTTAAAAAAGATTCCTCAAGCTTTTAAATTAATTTTCGAATCAGTAATTGTGACTCAAATGTTAATTCAACAAACCAAATTTATTTGGGTGGTGAAAATTAAATTTTTAACAAGCTTAAATATGTGGGTTTAAATTTCGAATTTGATTTTGTGAGAACTTTGGAGTGGGTGTTATTTATACTTGTTAGAAATAGTATAAGGAGGTTGTATATAAAATTTGAAGTCATTTAATGGAGATTTGGACTGGTTTTGAACAAGAATTGCAATTGAAAATCGTGGAAGAAGTTCGTCTACAAACGCTTGTATAAAGGTGTATAAAGTTGTATAAGGTGTGTTTCTACACTCATATACACTATTATACAAGATTATACATAATTATACAAAAAACTGATTTCGTCTTCTTCTTTGAATTTTTTCTGAAATTTAACTCAAATCTACTCCAAATCACTTCAAATTTAAAATTTGAACTTCTTTTGATATTTTCAATCAATTGGAACAACACCCAATCCAAACAACTAACAAATTCAAAAAAATCCATTTTCAAAAGCAAAGCTTTGAATGGCTTCAATGGCGGACTCTACTCTTCAATTTTCTTACATTGCAAGCAGGTGACACAAGAGGAGAAGCAGAAAATACACGGCCCCTTGAAGCATATGTAGAAGATGTGAGAAAAAGAGAGAGTGAAAGCAATGGTTGTGAGAATAAAGAATCCATAGCTTTTAGAAGCAATGATTGTAAGAACACAGATTTTGAATTTGCAAGTGCTTTCAAAATATGTACAATGTGAGCTAGGTGGGGTAAAACTTAAAAATATGGACCATTTTTTGTTATGGTGTGAAGTCATATGTATTTTCTTGTAATTCTTTCAATTGTTTATAATTTCGGTATTTATTAGTTTTTTTTAATTCAAGTCTAAATAGGATTAATTATAGTCAAAATAATATTGAAATAAGTTTTCTAGTTTTGTAAGAGTAGGTTTTACACTATTATAAATAGGAGTGCTAGTATCTTGTTTCTCAGTATTGAGTTTGCATGAGAATAAAACGCCCTTCTTTTTCTTGAAAGAGATCCATCCAAGGTATTAATCCTTCTCTTTGCCCTTCATATTTTTTTAATTCAATTTTATCTAGGGAATTATACAAATTGATTCTTGATTTTTCTCTTTTGGGAAGTGATTTCTTTTGTGATATGGATAATGGTTTTCGTTCAAAACTTTGGTATCTTTTCATTGCTTGTTTTTAGACAACAAAAAATCAGCTATGCCTTAATCCCAAACAAGTTGGCGTCAAGAATATAAATCATGTCCATATCGCTCTATTTAAGCATGTTTCAATCAAATATTAGCAGTAGAAGGTTTTTAAGTTTTCTATTGGCACATATATCTCTGACAAGACTAAAAACACTCCTAGCAAATACTGGACCTAAAGTAGACTAAAACTTAATCCGAACTAATTGGTATATTGTTTTCACTTGCAGACTATCAGATTAATAGAGTTTTTATCATGGAAAACCTTGAGGAGGAGATTTGGCAGATGAAAGAGGTAGCTAATGAGGCCAGAGTGAAGGCAACTGGGGAACTATTAACAGAGCTAAGGACTTCAAGGGAATTACAGTGTAATACTCGAGAAGAATTGAAGATTAAATACAAGAAAAAAATTTCTCTGAATTTGGAGATTGAGAGAGCAAAAGAGTTTCAGCTTTGGTTAGGAGAGAAAGAAGCTAGTTTAGGAAAATTGAAAGCGGAATTGAATAATGCAAAAAGGAATGAGGCTCAAGCGATGGATATATTATCCAATTTCAAGAAAAGGGTTCATGAACTAGAAGTTGAAGTAGAGAATAGAAGATTATCCGAGTCTAAAATATTCGATTCATTGGTATTGAAGACAAAGGAGTTCGAGCAAACTAGTAGTCATTGTGATGGTTCATGCCATGGGAAGGAACTGGGATGATTCGGGTCTGAACTTGGATCGATGAGGGAAAATACCGAAGAAAAGGAGAAGTATGCTTCTTCAAAGGCCAAGGTTTTGAGTGATGAGATGCTGTTGCTTAGAAAAGAACTTAAATTGGCAACTTATGCAGAAGAAAAGAGCCAAACCGAAGCAAGTAATTAGAACTAGAACAAGTAAAAGATGAGGCAAGACGATTGAAACAGATGGTCAGAAACACTGAGGCTAGGTACCAAAAGCTTTTGGATGAAGCAAAACAGGAAACTCTTGCTCAGCAGGAGACTGCAAGACTCGTCGAGTCTCTTAAAGATGCTAAACATATGACTAGAGCAGCAAGGGAAGAAATTTACAAATTGAGGGACATATTGAAGCAGGTTATAAATGAAGCGAACGTTGCAAAAGCTGCTGCTGATTTAGCTAAAGATGAAAATTTTCAACTCAAAGATTCCCTAGCTAAGGAAATTTCTTGCTCGAGAGATTGGACAAGTAGCCAAGGAAATTTTCAGCGTCGAACCTATTGAGCTGCTTCAACAAGAATCGGAAGATTTAGAAGCAAAAATTCAAGATGAGGATCCAGAAAAGGCCGAGGCACCAAAATCAGAGCCCCATACACCAAAACAGGTATCTCATCATCGGAGAGCATCCTCATCTACCTTCTCAGACGATTTTGGAACACCTAGAGCAGAATTCTCTGATCACTCAGATACTGATTGAATCATAGTAGGAAGAGAAAAGTATTATTTCATAGAGTTGGTGACCTCAATATTAGGCCTTCGTTTTTTAGATACAACTTGGAATGGTATAGTTATTTTCAGTTTTGAAGTTTTAATACTATGCATATATTCTTCATTTATCACATGACAAGAAATTGCACCCTTACAAGTGTGTTATTTATTCAGTTGTTCTTTTATTCTTCAGTGTTAGCTTCATTAGACCTAAGCATGAATGCCCAGTCTATGTTATGAGTTATAACATCAAGTGCATGATAATAATTTCACTTAAATAGTTATTTCAAATCATTTTGAGTATTCTGTTTGCTGAAAGGAATAAATCATGGCGCCTGCATCTTTGTTGCTTCTAAGATTAGGGTGCTTCTCTGTGCAGTGTTGTATAACTTAGGACATTATAATATTTATGCCATAGACATTCTAGTCATCCAATGCATTCGTGAGATATTGAAATGGAGTTGGAAATAAGGTGAAGAAGAACAAGATTTGTTCACCAAGAATTAGATGCATTAGAACCTTGCACCCAAATGTTGTATGTTTTTATTCGACGAACAAACAAGGACCTTAGCCTGGATACCATAAGAACTATAGAGATAGATATAGGATGAACAAGGTTAGTGGTAGACTTGTTGTCGCGCCAATAAAATCTAATACCCTTTCCGTTCCATTTTATGTTACACTTTTTCCTTTTTAGTCCGTCCCAAGAAGAAGAATAACACATATCTATATTTAGTAATAATTCAACTTTAAATATGCCCTTATGGGAAAAATCAGTTGCGGCTTTAAAGTTTACCTTATCTCATTAAGCTTACCCTTAATGAGATAATTTCTAGCCATAAATTTCTATGGATTATTTTAGACCACAAGTTTCAAAAGTCTTTATCTCTTAAATTTCGTGCCCAGTCAAACACCTTCACGTAAATTGGGACAGAGGGAGTAAAACATATCCATGAGCTCGAGTCATCAAGAGAATGGGGAAAGGAAAACCTGTTTGGTTATTGGGCAAAAGGGTTTGTGGGGTGGGCTTTACCATTTCCAACTTACATCACAAACTAAAGCCAAAACACTATGTAAACATGGTGAACAAGACAATGAAATTGGTAAATTTAAATGGAGAACAAATGCTCAATTGATCATTCCAATCAGGAAAAAGAAGCATCCAAATACAGGAGAGCTGCAGAGATAAATAATGATATTTGAACTCATGACCCAAAGCAAACAAGTTGAAATCCTATATCAGAACTGAACGCAAGTGAAAGCGTCCTACTTCCCCATATTCATCTCCATACAAACAAAACGCCAGACATGCACAGAGCTGGACCTTTCTTTAATGAACAACAACTTACAATTTTTAGGTCTCACAAATCATAGGGGAGTTAGAACTGCAAAGAGCTTAATTAAACCAATGAGCAAAGTTTAACATGGCATTCAAATCCTGAATTAAAGATTTTCACCACTTTTAGTGCTCCTCATTATCAGGTTTTGCTACTTCTTTCATCTCTTCTGTTCCCTCGTCCTGCAAAAAACCCCATACATGACTTAGCAAAATGATCACACAAGTATTAAAGGAACAATCTCATCAACAAGAGAATAGAAAGAACTTGCCTGCATGTCCGAGGTCCACAAAGTCAGATTATCGCGAAGAAGCTGCATTATCAACGTGCTATCCTTGTAGGACTCCTCCCCCAATGTGTCCAGCTCAGCGATCGCCTCATCAAAGGCCTTTTAACATAAACACAACCATAAGTAAGATATCTGAATTCCTACTAAATATTCAAATTAAAACAACAAATCATGACTTTTTTGCTTACCTGTTTGGCAAGATTACAGGCACGATCAGGAGAATTCAATATCTCATAATAAAATACAGAGAAATTGAGAGCAAGCCCCAATCGAATAGGATGTGTAGGTGCCAGTTCCGCATTTGCAATATCCTAAGAAAAAACAAGATGAATATTTCAATTTCACACTTCAATACAATGTAAAGTCAAAATTTTCTTTAGCATTTGCATGCTTCTTCATCAGGACAAAAAAGCTGGCCCGATTGCTTACGTTTGCATATTCTCCCCGTATTTCTCATTAATCAGGACGAAAATTTGATGCAATTAATAACAAGATCAAAACTGGATATTTCTATTCCGGCATTTGCATGATTTTTCATCAGTTTTTAATAAAACAAGAAGAGAATTTGTTGCAGCTGATTAAAAAAAATCAAAAGCAAACCTGAGCGGACTTGTAAGATGAAAGAGTATTCTCAGCAGCTTCCTTTCTCTCAGCTCCGGTCTTAAACTCAGCCAAATACCGGTGATAATCTCCTTTCATTTTCAAATAAAACACCTTAGAATCTCCGGTTGACGCAGCGCGGATGAGATTTGAATCGAGCAGCTTGAGGATACCGTTACAGATCGAGGTCAACTCCGACTCGATCTTAGATCTGTAAGTTTTAATAGAGGTCACATGATCTTCGTTGCCTCGGCTCTCTTCTTTTTGCTCGATAGAGGAAATGATTCGCCACGAGGCTCGCCGTGCTCCGATCACGTTTTTGTATGCTACGGATAGAAGATTACGTTCTTCGATAGTGAGTTCCTCGCCGCCGTCCGCGGCGGTTACGACCTTCTCCATAAAATCTACCATCTCCTCGTACCGCTCAGCTTGCTCCGCAAGCTTCGCCATGTATACGAACTCATCGCGCGACGACGACATCGATGTTTGAAGGGAGAGAGAGAGAACTGGGAATATGAAATGAAAGAGCGGTTTGGGGATTCTTCTGATTTCAAGTTTGATTTTTGTGCGCGCTAATTGAGGCTTTCAGATTTGTGGGCCAGGGCCATAGGAAACTCTAGCCTCTAGGTTTTGGCCATGATTGTTGACTGGGACGAGAAGAAGTTCTCCTAGTGCACCTTGGATTGGTATGCTTCACACAACCAAAATGGTAGGTGTGCCAACAATGTTCATGGGTGTGAGATCTTTCGGGAAAAATTATACGGGGTTGATTCAAAACGAACAATATCATATTATGTTAAAAGTATTATTAGATCGTTTTAGCCCAACAACTTGTGTCAAAGCTCAAGTTCGATGGAATGAATATGATGATGACGACTGAGTGATGGTGCAAGGCTTGGTTTGCTTACTCTTACGAGTTTGGAGACGCACACACACAAAAAAGGTAGTTGGGGGCGGCGGTTGCCATAAATACTCTGAAGATGTAGATGACACACAGTAAAATTCAGAGATTGAACTGCAGCTCGTGGTAATCGGCCACATGGAACTTAATTTGAGGAGAAGACTTGTGGATCGTGGTGATAAGCCACGTGCAACTTAATTAGACGGGGATTATTAGATAGCGAATAAAGTCTCACATTGGTAGGTGAAAAAATTAGGATTCTATATATAAGATGTAGGAATATCTTAATGGTGTGAGACCTTTTGGGGGAAAACCATGCAAGTTTGCCTAAAACGGACAATATTACACCATATTAAGAGTAATATTGAGTCGTTTTGGCCCAACACAGAATTAAGAAGAATTAATCTGAATAACATCTCGCCAATTGCTATAAAAAATAAATATTGAATCTGCCTGGTTATTCGGGTAAAGACCCCAAACATTAAATCTCACCATAAATTCAGTATAAGTAATTCAGAATGTTATTCGTTGTACAAGAAAAAATTACCCCCGCGTAATCTAATGTGTCTACTTAATCTTTATACGGGTTCATAATGACTACACGAGATAAAATTTGGTTTGGTAAATTAAAGTTGGTCTGATGCATAATAGGATCTTCTGTGCACGATGGTATATTGAGGTGCCCCTGCCGGTTGTTAGAACAACGAGAGCCAGGCTGGTACGAGTGTATATGGATTGGGTTGGTTCGATTTTGATAAAAATCGAACCAAACCAACTATATCGATTTGGATTGGTTCGATTTTGGCGGGTTTTTTTGAGTTTTTCGTTACTTAAATATTATTTCAATCTTACTTTGTTAAATTTTTTATAAGTAAATATATTTAGTAAAAATGCAAAAAATTGACAAACATATTGTCACACCTCCTTTTTCACCTACACCCCGTAAGGGCGTAAAGGAGTTTTTCCAATTAAAGGACAGTCGGAACGAGATTTAGTTATTAATTATTCAAAGTCGCCATTTGGAAGATTAATAATGTCCCAAATCACCGGTTGAATCCCGAACCGAGGAAAAATATGACTCTGTATTACAGTCCGCGAATCAGAAATTCGGATAAGGAATTCTGCTAACCCGGGAGAAGGTATTAGGCATTCCCGGGTTCCGTGGTTCTAGCACGGTCGCTCAACTGTTGTATTTGATTTTATCTGATTTAATACATGTGTGCTTATGTGCCTTTTATTCACAAACCGCTTTTATTATTATTTTAAAGGAATTGCAACATCGCGAAAATGCGTCTCGAACCACATCGCAATCAACACACCCGTGGTTGTTAACACAGTTGACTCCGTTGAGATTTGAATTTGGGTCGCATCAATACGCACCCGAGTTTAGGAATGTAATTTTATTAAAATCGTGCCTAAAGAGTCTAACGCATATTTCTTTTGGGAAAAACCATGAAATTCACTAACACATGCGTTCAAATCCTTGGTCATTTCTTGGACACAAGCCATATGAAGAAATCAGCAAGGCCTGGGCCGCTTATTGATGCATTTAGGCCCAACTGCCTGCCGTCAGGCTGCGGGCTGAATCATGTGAAGCCTCAGTTCAGTGTAGACCTAGACGTCCACCACAGTTACCACAAATCATTCAACACGTTAGTAACGCAGGAAAACAACATACGCCTATTCAGATTAACTCAACAATGATCACCTTGATTTTCAATTTTTACTCAGATTATTTTAACTTTTGACGAGCTACAAGATACCACTAAGGTAAAAAGAAAAACTGGAACTAAGATGGAGAACTCATATACTTTAAATTGGCATGACAATTGAACTTAAGCTGTGAGTATGCTGTTAACGTTATGTCCTACTACTTACACAAATCAGAAATGATTTAACAAATCCTTTACAAAACGATGCCACTAACCTATCATGAATCTAACACTTTTAACTGAAGCATGCCTGAAATCAGATCACTCTGTAATTGGGTTCAAAATAATTACGTCTGTTCTTTACTTATGAAATTCAATCAAGAGTAATGGTGACAGTCCATACAGTCCACAGTTTATACACAACCAAGTGGCACTTAACTATATTAAACAACACATATAGTATCTATTTAACTATGAATATGTAACAACCAACAGGAAGATCTCAGGATCAAAATAGGTGGGCAATTTTATTCCATTTCAAGCTTGAAGTTACAGCAGAATTTCGAGTGTGTACCTGGAAGGGTGAAATAACAAAAGAGAAGAGGTCAGCCGATACAATAACCAAACAACAGCAGTTCAGAAACAAGCTCTAAGCCCCAGGATTGTTTCAAAACCAAATAGGATCACAGGATAACCCAAAAACAGTACCAAAACGCTCAGAAACAAACCCAACAAACCACATCCAACTTAAGCAAACCAAAGTCCAACTCGAATAACCCAATACTAGTGCTCAAATGATTCTAGTGACTTTCAAACTTCAAACCTTGAGCAGAAACATCATATTTCGAGCTATTTTTGGTTTTTAAAAGGATTAGAGAATTGCACTAAGCTAGAATTGGAAAATAATCTAAGAGGAAAAAAAAGGCACTGGAACAATGTTTTTTTTTTGGTTTTCAGAGTTTTTTTTTTTTTTTGGTTTTTCTATAGAAAAGCTTAAAATTCTAAAGGAAGTTTCATATTTCAGATTTCCTTTTGAATCTGTAACTAGAGAGTATTTGGGGAATTTTTGTTGGCTTCCCCCCAAAAAAGGACCCCTCTCTAAGGCATGAGAATGCCAATTTATAGGCAACCCATGAGCGAATAATCAGATTTTTGGTTTTCTTTTTAATCCTTCTTTATTTTCAGTTTAGTCCTCTTATTTCTAACTTGTTACTCAAGTAATCCCACTAAAATTGTTGAAATCTACACTAAAGTACCACTCTAGAAGGCCCTAGAAGATTCTAGTTTTAACTACCATGTGTTGCCCAATCCTAAATGTCTAAACTACCCCTGAACTTAAGCTAAAACTACAGCTATAACCAAGACAGTTTCTTAAGCTCTGAATATACCCCAATTTAAACTCTTGTTGAATCTATCGATTGAACTCAGAATTAATGACCAAACTAACTTCCAAACGACGACTAATTAAACTGAAACTGAACTAACTAGTAATTAACCTAAACTAAAGGAACGCCAGAAATTAATTCAAACAAAACTTAATAAAAGTAATAAATAAATCATCAACGGCTTAACTAAAAATCAAACTAAGATCAGGAATTTGAACATATTAAAATCAAACAATCAACTAGGCTTAATCAAAACAAATCAGGACACACGATTAGACAAAAAATAAGACGCAAATCAAACTAGACATTAACCATGGAATTCACACATGCAGAAAATCAGAAAAGGAAAAAGAATTGAAATAAAAGAAAATGCCAACAAGAACTCACTAACAACAAAGAGCTCCGGCCAGTGGTTGTTTCTCCAAATCCCCCGAAATTTCTGACCCGTAATATCCCTAACCATGTGTTTTCATAAGAAAACACCTGGTTAGGGTTGTTAGGGTCCGAAATCATGGAGATTTTGCATTAGGGTTTTTGGTCGGAAACCTTCAATTTGATATTCGAGCTGTTCCAGGTAGATTCGAGAGATAGGGCTATGGGGGTTGGGTAGAGGAGGCCTAGACGGTCACATGGTGTTAATTTGGTGGTGATTGGGTTACTTTGGGTTTTGGCCAGAGAATCTTTGATCGAGGATTCAACGAGCTAGGGCGGGATTTGAAGGAAACGGGTGGTGGATTCATGATGAGGGAGAAGATGAGGTCTCGTGGTGTTATTTTGGTGGTCGATGGCATAAGTGGCGTTCGCCGGCGGTGGGGTTCCGACGAGGTAACAGGGGGTACGAGGAAGGTGAGTTATGTTTTAGGGTTTGGGAATGTTTCGGACATATTTATTAAGTCAACAAGAAAG